AGATCCTGGCCTCAGACCTCCCCAGATGCGCTGACTCCTCATGGGCCCTGGTGCTGGTCGCTCTGTGAGAACATGAGCCTTTCAAAGGGAGGGCCCTGGGGACTGACTATAAGGGAGAGACAGAGGGCAGAGGCAGGTGGTGGGATGGACAGGGGACGGGTGTACAGACAGACGGATGGGAGAAATGGCAGCTTGGCTGTCGTTGGCTCCCAGAGCCTCCAGTGACTAAGCCAGGGTGGGCAAGGAGTCGTCGCAGCAGAGCTGGAGCAGGTGGCCGCCTCCATGTCCCCTCCCGACCCTCCGCGTCTTCATTAGGACGCGGCTGCCGCACCTGGGCCTTGGCCCCTGCTCTGGGAAGCTGAGGAGGCCTCCGACAGCCTGATTAAGGCCCTATTAGCCCCGGGCTTGTCCAACCTGGGTTCCCAGGGAGCCGCTCCAGCAGGGCTAACGACGCCACCACCACTGCTGTCACCTCCGCTGCCATCACCGCAGTCCAGGCAGAGTCACACGGGGCCCAGGAGGGAAGAGTGCTGTTTCATGTTTCATACTCTCCTGTGCTAACTGGCTGTGTGGCCTCGAGGAACCCACTTCCCTCTCTGAGCCAAAGCTTCCTCAAAGTGGATCAGGGCAGTGATTTGCCTGAGGCATTGCTGCCCTGAGCACCCAGCAGACGCATCTGAGGGACCCAGCACTCTGGAGGGTTAGACAGGAGGACTGCAATTTCCAGTTCACCCCGGAGGACAATTTAGCAGGACGCTGGGGTCTCAAAATAAAAAATAAAAACAAAAATGAAGCGCTGGGGATGTAGCTCATTGCCCGGTAACACACACACACACACACACACACACACACACACACACACACGTACACCACCACCACCCCCGCCACCTTCGGTGGGGGGGGGCAGCAGGTGTCAGGACAGTCCCCACTGTGTGGCTGAGGAAACAGCAGTGCAGGGAGAGCCAGGGCTCAGCTAAAGGCACGCAGGCAGGCAGGGCCGGAGCTGGGATTCAAACTGGGTGGTGGGCGCCACACCCAGGCTACTTCCTGCCTGGCTGGCTGGGGGTGGGAACAAAGCCCGGTGGGGGAGGGGACAGCACAGGAGGCACAGGGATGATTTACACTTCAGCGCGATTAACTGCGCCATCTGGACGGCACACGCCTGCCTGCCTGCCTGCCTGCCTGCCTGCCTGCCTGGGAGCACCGGCGACCCCAGCCTTCCTTGTCCAGCCCTGGAAGGGATGAGGGGAAGGCAGAACCGCCTGGGGCTGCAGGGTGGGCTGCAGACCCGGGAGGTCTGGGGGGGCCGTCCTGGGGGTGGGGCTTCTCTGGGGCACGGAAGAAGGCTGGGGTGTGAGCCACCAGGAAGGGGAGGCGAGGTGTGACACAAGCAGCACCTGGCTGGCTCTCAGGTGAGCCTGCACACCTCCAACCTCTTCTCTGAGACTCTGTTCCTTCATCTCTGACATTGGGATCTTCATGGTATTGGCCTCTCTGGGCGGTTTTGAGGGTCAGATGAAAGAAACAGGCAATCCAGGCACGGTAGACTAGTCTGTAATCCCAGCACACAGGAAGCTGAGGCAGGAGGGTTTCCTGAGCCTCCCAAGGGCTGGGATTCTAGGCATGTGCCACCATGCTTGGGTTGGGGCCTCTCTTGCTGTACCAACTGTTCTCAGCTCCCTGGATACTCCAGGAAGGAGGAGGAGGACTTGGACTGCAATGGTGGACCCAAAGCCTTTAGGATCTGGGACACGCTTCCCCTCCCACGTCTCCAAAGAGGTGGAAGCTCACCCAGGGTCTCTGCCTTCCTCCTGGGCACTGGGCATGCTCCGTGTGGCCCGCACAGGCCGCGGCAGGGGAGGCTTCCTCCCACACAGCCTGCCTGGCTGCCTGCAGGCTGCAAGCTTAAGCCTGCCCTGAACAGAACACAAAAGCCTCTCCTTTGCTGAGAGCCCCCGAGGCCGAGCTGTTTTGCTGGCTTCTCTCCTGGCCCACCAGTGTGGCCAGGCCAGCACAGGGAAATGACAGCTGCCCTACCCAGAGAGAGATGTCCCCAGCCCTGGTGCTCTCTAGGGCCACCCCTGGGGAGCAGCGTGCAGAACTGGCCCTCCCCTGCCTGCCTGCCAGGACCAGCGCCAGATGGGGCGGCCCTGGCTCCTGGTCTCGGCCAACAGCCCAGGCCTCATGACCTGTCCCCCTGGGACCTCCTGGGTTAGCCATCCGAGGTGACCCTGCCCCCTTCCCCACAGACGCCTAGACCTCTGACCTTTTTTAAAAACAAACCAAACTGAATCCAGAGAGAGGAAAATTCTGCACAAACGGCCTCAGAGATGGCCACGTGCTCCCCCCCCCCCCAACTCACAGAGATGGGCACATCTCAGCCCCCAACACGCACTCAGGCACAAGCGGCTGGGGCCGGCTTGTTTAGCAAACAGCTAGGCTTCTCTCAACTTTTTGGGGGGGGTAGGTAGGGGGTTGGGGAGTGGACTGTTTCCCTGGCCCTCCAGGATCCCTGGGGCACAGCAAGGTTCCTCGTCGGCCTCAGTGCTCTCTGCTGGCTGCAACTGGGGAAGGGAGAAGCCGAGAAGGGAGCAGAAACCTTAGGGGCCCCCACAAAAGTCGGGGAGACCGGGCAGGGGGGGCAGTGCGGAGACAGCCCCTTGCCAGGACCCAGAGCCCAGGGCGTCCCCGGCGTCTCCGGGCTCGGCGCAGGGTCGGTCCCTCGCTCCGCACACGGGGATTGAGGGGCCGCGGTCCCTGTCCCCCTCCGAGCGCGTGCAAATCAAAGCACCCGCCCGAAACAAAGGCTGGGCCGCTTCCCAAAGGCAAACAATGGGCAGTTTTGCTTTTCTGCCCCCTGCCCACGCCGGCATACGGAGGGCCCTGTTTGATCTGGGGTCCGCGTGGCCCCGGGGGCTACTACACCCCCACGACGCCCGCGCGGGACCAGTCCACTGCGCACGCGCGATCCGGGCGCAGGAGGCCGAGGCCGCCCGCGCAGCCTCGCTCGGGCCCGGTCGCCTTGGCAACGGGCTCGCGGGGGGAGGGGCCGGCCGCGGCGGCTGCTATTTCTGCCGCTTCCTGTTCCTCGCGGCCACGTCGCCATGGCAACGGTGCTCCTCTCCCTGGCCGCTTCCCGGCTCGGCTGGCGCGCGTGACCCCGGCCGCTCGCGCCCCCTCGTCTCTCACTTGCCGCTTCCCCCTCTCCCCCCACGGCCGCCGCCGCCGCCTCCTCCTGCACCCGGGCCCCACGCAGCACACCCGGCGCCCCCCATCCCTCCCGGTCCTCCCGGTGCCCACGTCCCGCGGGGGAAGAGGGAGGGCGGGGGAGAGGGATGGGGGACGCTTATTAAAAAACACTGTCGCCGCTTTCGTTTTCCTGAGTTGACAAGGGGCGTTATTTACTGTGACTGCACCTCGCGGGAGCTCACCTCGGGCTGTCCCGGGACGGCGCGCGTGGGCGCGGGGAGGGGCGCCCCGCACCCGGGCTCCTGCTCCCCCCTCCTGGCTGCGCGGCCGGGAGCACTGCTGAGGCCCGGGCGCTCGTGGGAAAGAAGGGGGAAAATAAAAAAGCTGATGATTGCTTTCTTGGGCCGGCTGCGTCCTGCGTGGACCGGTTTCCTGGGGATGTAGTGGAACAGCCGCTCTGAGATGAAGGCTTCGGGCCAGAACCTCCCACCGCGGGGCCCAGGACCGTTCTGGATCTGCCCCACGTGGCCTCCCGCTCCTGGGGAGGGAGCACAGCGCCCCGAGGGCACAGCCCACCAGCAGCGCCGTGGGAGGCCAGCAGGGCGGAAAGGGCTGGGGACCTGCACGGCAGATCCGCTTCGGGTCCAAGCCAGGCCGGCCCTGGACTCCTGCATATCCGACCGAAGCCTTCCTTGGGGTGGGAATGTGGGTTCCCGGCTGTTCAGCATCGTTAGCTCCAAAGCAAACAGCCGCTGCCACTGTGGCCGGGGCCGGAGCAGACGGTGAAAGGGTTGTAAAAAATCAGAATGCAGTTTGCTTACAGACAAACAAGGCATGATCAGCAACCCAGGTTCTGACCTTTCAGGGGCCTCTGTCCCTTTGGGTTTGGTTTCCCACTAGAACTCGTTTCCTGGGCTTCTGTGCTCTGGTGATCCTCCTTGGATAGCCAGGAGGGCGTCTCCAGCCCGAGGCTTCTCTTGGCAGCTGCTCCCAATACCAGTATCCAGTACTGGTACCTGGGCTCCTGGCTGCCTGGGGCTGTTACAGCAAAATAAAGGAGTCTTCAGCCTGGGTCCAGGACAGGCAGCTCGTGCTGGCAGCCATTCCCAGTGCACAAAACAGAGTGTTCCCTCCTCAGGGGCCTACGTGCTGTGTCACAGAGCTCCCAGGTCCATGGGGCAGACAGAAAGGGCCCTCTGGTTACACTGCTGTCCCCACCCACGCGGCCCTGAAGCTGGCTGGCACAGGGTAGCAGGCACTGTGGGTTCACCTGGCACTGCAGTCAGACCCAGGTATGGGACTGGGACAGACATGACAGTGGCCACCTGTGCATCACAAGGCTCCGGAGCTTGGGGTTGGTTCACACCAGACTCTCCCATTTTCCTGCTTCACACAGGAGCAAACAGGCCCAGGACAACGGGAAGAGGCCTGAGGGGTGGCGGAACCCAGAGGGCCTGGAGCTCTGCCTGCCATCCGGGTTCTGCTGCAGTTTTTTTTGTGGAATTTCCCATCTGATCCACAGTTCAGAGGCCAGGGGCTGGGGATTTAGCTCAGCAGCATAAGCGCCTGCCTTGCAAGTGTGTGGTTGTGAGTTCGATCCCTGATACCCAAAAAGACAAAAAAAAAAAAAAAAAAAAAAATCAAAGTTCAGAGGCCAGGGACACTGGAGCCAGGCTGCCTGGGTCCCAGTCCTTACTTCCCAGTGTCGCCAGCGATGACATTCCTCGTTCTGACCCTGGCTTCCTGTTTGTTTTTGTTGGTCCCATACTGGGGACTGAACCCAGGGCCTGCATGGTGACTTACATTCCCAGGCCTTTTTATTTTTATGTTTTATTTTAGGATGGAATCTTGTTGAGTTGCCTAGCTTGGCCTCGAATCTGTGATCTTTCTGCCTCAGCCTCCCAGAGTGCTGGGATTACAGATAATTGCAGCTGCCCTAGGTTGGTCTAAAGAAACAGAGACCACGATGCAGGTAGAGCACCTGATACACACGCTTGTGGAGGACAGATGGTGCCCCCACCAAAAATACATCCATACCCTCATCCCTGGAATCTGCATGTGACTTTATTTAGAAGTGTCATCGGAGATTCGATTAAGAATCTTGAGACAAGCGCCTCCTGGATTTTAGCTGGGCCTAAAAGTCCTCATAAAAGACAGAAGCCCAAGTGCAGACAAGCAGAGACATAGTGACATAGCCAGATGCTGGAGGGATCTTTCCAAGCCTTTGGCCACACACCTGTGATCCCAGCACTCAGAACCGTGAGGCAGGAGGATCTCTGAGAGTTTGAGGCCAGCATGGGCTACACAGTGAGTTCCAGACCAGCCTGAACTACAGAGTGTCAAAAACAAAGCAAGAAACAGAAGAGCAGCTCTGCCAGCCCCTTGACTTCAGATTCCCATCTCTGGAACTGGAAGAGAATACTCTGTGTCTTTGTTGTTTTTAAGGTGTGGGCGACTGGTCCCAGGGCTTTTGTACCCAGTTACATTTTCCAGTTCTATAGAGGACAGAGCGTGGTAAGTTGCCAAATTGCCTCTCGGGCTACAGCTTTGCACCCTCCTGCTTCAGCCTCCCAGAGCACTGGGTTTCAGGCGTGGACACCATGCCTGGTCTAACCTGTTGTGTTAAACCACAGAGACTCTGGCAGTTTTTCCTGCAGTGACAGGAGACTGACATGGTGGCAACGCTGGGAACAATGGTGGAGTAAGGGTGGTGCCAGGGGTGAGGGTGACAACCACAGTGATCAGTGAGGGTGGTGCTGAGGCTGGTGTGGGAATGGCCATTCGGGCTGGGATGGTGTCGTTGAATCTCATGGCGACTGTCCTGGTTTGCTATCGAGCCCTGCCTGATCAGAAAAAGGTCAAATCCTAGTTAGCAATGCTCGGAACAGGTCCGCCCCAGCCTCGCGCTCCTCCTGCCTCAGCCTCTCCAGTGCCCGGATAACAGGTGTGCACCGCCCCACTCAGCTGTGGCTGCAGTGCCGTCCTCCGCTGTCACCCATGCAGTGTCCTCCCCTGCCTTGCCGCCGCAGGTGTCCGTCTGTCCCAGGGCCCCCTGTTTTAGGACAGTAATGTTCCTGGGCTGGCTCCGTTGGATATGGGCGCTTCAGCAAAGAGCGCATCTCCAAGTAAGGCCGAGTCCTCAGGTTCCAGGCTCGGGGCTGGACCTGGATTTCCGGGGCGAGCCCAGTTAACCCCTGACGGTGATTTGATGGAGACTGTGGATGACTGGGTCGCAGCCCTGGGCCCCAAACCCCTACAGGTGCTGCTTGGGGGCGTGTGAGTCCCCAAGGTTCCCTGGAGGTCACATATGTCCCAAGGGAGCGCGGGGGAGGAGGGGGGATGGCCTGCGCCTCCGACACCTTTGCAGAGCAGGTTGAGGGTTTGGGAAGAGCTGGACGCTGGTCCTACCGGAAGCTGGCCGTGGTGGGGACCCCAGGCTGCACGGCAGGGGCCGTCTGTGTCTGGGGTCCCTGCGCTTCTGCTGGCGTGGGAAGGAGGGGCAGCTATGTGGGGAGCCCCACTCCTCTTCCTTCCCTCCCCTCCCTCTCCCCTCCCCCTCCTTCCCACCGCACCTGCTTCCCAGTCACGTGGAGCGCTGCTATTTTTATCCACAGCTAAGTCCCTGCCTGCCCGTTGCAGCGGCGCCTCTAGGGCAGGACCCGGGTGTGCACCCCTGCCAGCTCCCGGGCCTGGCCAGGTGCTCGGGGCGTGCAAAGAGCGGCCCAATTGTAAAGGACAGCGCGTCCTCCTGTGTCATCTTCCTCCATCTGGGCACAATGCAGCGGCAACAAAGCCATGGTAGCCCCAGCTTTGAGCGCGCTTCCTCCACCGCACCCTGGGGCCCCCAGGAAGCTGCCGCGGGCCCAGCCGCCCGATCTCGCCTTTCTTCTGGGCCCCGGTGCCCGGTAACCATGGCAGCCAGAAGCCAGCCCTGCCTGCCGGGGACAGAGAGCCCGCCGGCATTTGGTCTCTGGCAGAGGACAGGCAGGGCTGGGCCACTGCTGCCTTTCCTTAGGGGCACAGGGACGCTGCCTGCGGCCGCTCTGGCCCTGTCCAGCCCGCGAAGCAGTCGTGATGCGGTAACAGCATTCATTCATTCCTGTGTCCGATCAATATTTATGAGCGCTTCTGGTGCCAGGAACACTTCTGTGCACCGGGGAAAACGTTCTGGCATCCGTGAGGCTTGTATTCTAGGGGAGAGACAGACAAAGATGATGGGGTAGCAGGCAGTTAAAGGGGCACAGGAGCCCCCGGAATGAGAAGCTTCCAGGGGTTGGGTCAGGGAGAGGAGAGGAGCCCCCCACCACCAGGGGGTGGCATCCAGGGACAAGGCATCCAGGGCAAGGGAGCAAGTGCAAAGGCCCTGAGGTTGGCCTACCTGGTCACGGTTCTGAGTACACCAAAGTCAGGGGAAGTGCCAAGAGCTTGTGTGTGGGGGTGCAATGTGGGTGTGTGGGGGAGAGCCCGCATTTCCCCTGGGGGCAGTGACTTGACTGCTGTGGGGTAAAGCGGAGACACCAGCCTGTGTCGCTCATCTGTGGCATGCCCGAAATTTTGGTACCCTATCCTGAAGTGCTTTCATCTGAGGTAGGTGCTATTGGGCCCATTTTACAGATGGGGAAACTGAGGTCTAGCAAGGTTGAGTAATCTGCCCCAGGGTCCTGGCTGGTCAAGATACCCAGGCAGCCTGGCTTGTATGTTCAAGCCCTTATCTCCATTTTTATGTTTTGTTTTGTTTTTGCTTTTTGAGAGAGGATGCCACTGCAGAGACCAGGCTGGCCTTGACCTGGCCATCCTCCTACCTCAGCCTCCCGAGTGCTGGGGTGACAGAGATGCCCACCATGCCCAGCTGTTTGCTTGTTCCTGCACCCACCCCTCCTGTGTCCTGTGGGCTGTGTGAACACACAGCAGCTTTGTACTGGGTACCGGGTTCAGATCCTGCAGAGGCGGCACAAGCTGAGGAGCCCGGCCCAGCTTGGGAGACAGTGGGCAGGACTCAAAGGGAAACCCAGTGACCAGGTGCCTGCGCATGTGACTGGGGCCACCTGGAGAAGGGGACAGGGCTGGGGGGCAGCTGCGACACTCGGGGAGAACAGCTGTTTTTGGGGGGCAGGGGGAGGGACAGTATGGCTTGGCGGGGTGGGCAGCAGAGGCAGAGGGAAGCAGATAGGTTGGGAAACCGAGGCAGGGAGGAGGGGCTCAGGGCTCCCAAGGCCGCAGGCTTCGTGCTTTGAGGACATCAAGGCCACCGTGACCCCATCCCCCACTGTGTATCATGGTGGGCGTAGACCTCAGTGGGCACAGTGGCACAGAGTGACTCAGGTCCCCAAGTGAGTGGGGACACCTCACACCCCCACTTCCTGGCACTTCCAGGCGCTGGAAACACATCTGTGACCCCAGCACTCAGGAGGCTGAGGCAGGAAGATCCCTGCAATTTGGAGGCCAGCCTGGATTACATAGTGAGACCTTGTTTCAAAAACAAAACAAAACAAGGGAAAGAGGAGGTAGGGTTTCCCTGGTCCACAGAGGTGCAGACCCAGGCATGGGCAGTGTCCCCCTGTAGGGCCCCCACTGTGGCCCCATGTGAACCCTGCAGCTGGGCCCCGGCCAGCTGCTTGGCCTCTGATCCTCAGCTGATTCTGTCTCTGTTATCACTGCTCAGACCCTACCCCAGCCTACCCCACTTTTCTGGGCTGCTCTTGGGGGGCACCCTGGAGATTCCGACTTCTAGAACCTTCGGCTGTCCAACATGCCCCCTCCCCCCAAGATGGCAGCAGCGGGATTCAGAAGGGACAGGCGGAGTCCACCCAACCTGGACCAGGGCACCTGGGAGGGGGAGGGGCAGGAAGGGGCGATGGGCCTGCTCCTGGGCCAGAGTGATCCTCTTAGCCCCTGCTGTCTTCTCCCAAGCCTGGTGGGGCTGTGTGACCTGGGTGCAGGGCTTGACCTCTCTGAGTCCCTGAGCTTGAGGTCTGGAGGTGGGAGAGGGAAGGGGGCGGCTGTGCGCACCCCTGGGGTGACAGTGCATGCTCTAAAGCGTCACTCACCAAGCTGAGCTCAGGTCCGCCACAGAGGCAGGGAAAGGGGTGCGTGGGGAGAACCCTCGAACCACCAGCACCAGGGGCTGTGCGGCTGGGGCCCAGTGGGTGCTGGGTTGCCTGGTTGGGGGGCCCTTCCCCTCCTGCCCCTCAAGGGTGGCGGTCATGTGGGTGGGGATGGGGCTGCAGGGGTCTCTTCCTCTTCCTGAAGGCAGACAGGACCGGTGATGTCCGGTGTCAGGGGAGGGAGAGCACTGAAGGGCGGGAAGGGACCTCGACAGCAGCAGAGGACTGGATGGAGCGCAGGGACAGAGGAGGGCACGCGGCCTCGCTGGAACCTTCCAGAGACAAAGGTGCAGGGCCCCAGGGCCTCTTGCCTGGACAGGAGCTTGCCGGCTCTGCGGGCTCGGCCCAGGCTGCAAACCTACGAAGGCGACCCTGTGCCCGCTGCCCTTGCGGCTGTCACAGCAGATAAACCTTCAGCCAGCCTGGCGGAGAGGAGCGCCCCGCACACTAATGCTCAGCCCGCGGCCGCTGAGCTAAAAATACAGAGCAGAGGGGGAGGGGCGGCGAGGGGGAGGGGAGCATGCTGCGGCCTCCGCGCTGGAGCTGGAGCCCGAGCTCCACGGATGGGACGGATCGGATCGTGGCGTCCTAAAGATCCAGATGCCTGCAGCTGCCAGACCACTGCCCTGGGACCGCGGTGGGGTGGGGGGCAGCCCAGGGCCACAGGGCGGGGCGGAGGGAGGAGCGGCTGCAGAGGGGCGGGGAGAGGTGGGCAGCTGTGGTGCGCGGGCAGGGGTGGGGGGTGGGGGGTGGGGACAGGTGGGGAGGGGGGTGGTGAGGGAATGGGGGTGCAGGGGGAGTGGGACAGCAAGGCACCCTCCCCACGTGGACAGAGACACTCTGCAGAGTCCAGAGAAGATCCAGCCTCAGAGAAACCCACAGGAGTGGGCCCAAACGGGAAACTGAGGCTGAGGAACAGCCGAGTCTCTGTCTAAGGTGGTAGGTGGCGCAGCAAGATCTGAACCCAGACCCGCTGACCCCAGGCCTGTCTGGGAACCCGGGACCCTCCAGCTGCCCCTGCCAGGGTTACCAAGGCAGGGCAGATGGCAGGAGAGGGGACACGTCGGGGGGGGGGACCCCGGATGTAGGCAGGGGGACGGGAGCCTGGGCCTCACCTGTCTTAGACAAGAAGCTGGCGTGGGCAGAAGGGCATTGAGGTGACTGGGCCTTGTTGGCAGGTGACTGAGCAAAGGCTTCCCTCTCTGCACTCCAAGGCCTCAGGTCTTTCATTCGCCCATCTGTTGTTTTTTGAAACAGGGTCTCACTGGGTAGCCAGGCTGGCCTCCAACTCACAGCAACTCTCCTGCCTCAGCCTCCTGAGTGCTGGGATGACAGGTGTGAGCACCCCGTGTATTCGAGGTGCTGTGGATGGGGAAGGACATTCGTGGGCCAGGAGTGGACAGGTGAGGTCTGAGCCCTATCCTGCTGTCCTTGCTTTCTGAGGGCCTCGACCCCTTGCTGGGATGCTGGGCTGTGCAGCCGCCTTCAGGAAGTGTCCAGGCCTCTCCCCAGAGACAGGGCCCCTGACCACATCCCTGTCACCATGCTCCGCTCAGTCCCAGGTCCACAGGAGCCTTGACCCACGGTGGTGGAGCCTGTGTCCCCAGTCCAGCACCAGGTTTGTCGGCTGCTTGGGCACGAGTGCAGGCTCGGTGTCCCCTCCTGGAACAGGGCTGGGTGACAGTGCCTCCCTGAGACACGAGGGGAGCCAGGAGAGACACCCCAGCAGGGAAGCTCTGACCCTGGCCCGGCCCTGCATGATGGAGGAGGCCCTGACGGGCCTGGGAATCTGCTCTTCCGCAGCTCTTTCTGGACTGAACAGGCCAGGAGGAAACCCAGGCTGAGGCTGGGGTCCACTGCCCACCCAGGCTGCTGGAGATAGGAGCTGTGGGGGCTGGGGTCCCGCCCCAGAGCTCAGAGCAGGCTGAGCCCCAAGAGGAAGAGGATGAAGGAAGAGGGAGGAGGAGAAAAAGGAGGACCCAGAAAACCCCAGGACAGAACCAGGCCAGAAGTTCTGTTCCTCCGGGGCCCTGCCTTCCTGGCTCTCCACTGCCTTTGCTGGCTCTGCTCTGGCCTCTGGGTTTCCTCCATTCCCACAGGGCGTGGCATCTCACCTGTAATCCCCAGGTTTGGGAGGCTGAGGCAGGAGGATCCCTGTGAGCTGGAGGGCAGCTTGGGCTGCATAGTGAGACTTTGTCTCTAAAATGAAAAAGAGAGGACAGGAAAGGCCAAGCAGTCAGGGCAGGGCGTCTCCACGGTGGACCCCAAGGAAAAGCGGCCTCACACTGGGGCGACCGGGGCAGGACCCGTGGAGCAAGCGTGAACTGGTGGGCTGTGCCCTGTCTCGATCTCCAACCTCCAGCCTCCTTGAAATGACACACTGCACACTGATTTAATTACATGTCCGGTGTGGGGCAGAGTGGGCGGCCTGGCCCCTCTGCCTTGCAGGGTCTCAGCCCTGGTCCCCAACTTGGGACCCTGGGGAGTGCGGGGGAGGGGGTGCCACTGACCTGCTGGCCCTGGTGCCCGCACTTACCTCCCCAGCCCCACTCTCCGGCCAACCCCACCACCCTGCCCTGCAGAGGAGCCTCCCCACCATGGTGGGGTCAGAGGGCACAGGGTCACCAGACCCAGTGGCACTGCCAGGTCACAGGCTGTCAGTGATACAGGCAGACACAGTCTCGGGGCCAGGCAGCCTGTCACAGCCACGCTGGGGACAGAAGCTCCTGTCCTGAGGGGAGGGACAAAGCCAGCACCTCCCCAGAAGCACCGGGAGGGATCTTCTGACCTCTGGGGCAGCAGAGGCCTGCAGGGAGTGACTGGCCCCACAAGCCCACCAGGTCCTGTCCCCCTGGCCTCCCCGCCCAAGACCCACAGCAGGGGCAGGCAGCCGACCAGGGTCCCCAAGCCACATCCAGCGCAGGGGACGGAGTGGCAGCGGCTTCACGGAGCTCTGGCAGTGCCCAGGCCCTGTCCTAAGTGCTTAGCCCCCGCTCCTGCCCATCCTCCACCCGGGGAAACTGAGGCTCAGGGTCACAAAGCCACAGTATCACGATGGCCGTCAGCACATGGACCAGGCTGTCCTGTGAAATGAGGTCCCCATGTGACCCTCATGCCTATCCGCTGTCCATCCGCCCATTCCTCCGTCCCATTTGTCCATCCATCCCTCTGCCTACCCGCCTGTTACTGTCTACTCATCCGTCTGTCAGTCCGTCCATCCATCCTCCACCCGCCATCCCTCTATCCATCCCCATCCACCCCCATCCAATGTCCCACTCCCTTCTCAGCCCCTTGTGTCAGCACCTCAGCCTCTGGCTCCGCACCCCTCGGTCCCTGTCCTCCTGTGCTGTCCCCCACCTGCCCCCTCTTCTGCTTTGTCCCGCCTGTGGGCATCACCTGCTAAGTGCCCACCCTCTGCCGCCCTGGCTGGGATCCCTGGGGGCCCTGCGGTCTCTAAGCTCACTGTTCAGCCAGGGGCGCAGAGTTACCTCGGGGCACGTGGTAGGCTATGCCTTGGGGGACGCCACTAATTTTAGCCACAGCCATGGGAGAAAGGTAAGCTCGGTCCTGCTCTGTCCAGGGGAACCCTGATTGTGCTGCTTGGGGAGAGGAGAGAGCCGTGGCCAGGCGTCCCGTGCCCGTGGCATCTGCCTCTGCCAGGCTGCTAGACTGGTGTCGCAGCCCCAGAACCAGCGGCCCTTATGGGGATGCCCTCCCCCGGCCGGCGGGTACCCTCAGGGATGGCCAGTGACCTCTGTGACCCTGGCTGTCTCCCTGTTCCCTGGGGCCAGGGGTCTCGGGCTGCTGCCCAGGAAACAGGAAGGACCTGTGTGTCCCTTCCTCTGGGGACAGGCTGACCCCGCGGGTCACAGGCCAAGGACACATTCAGACCGTGGCCCGTCCTCTCCCAGGACTCGCTTTCCACTTGGGGTCCTCTCTGGTGAGGAGGCCAGAAACTCTCCCCTGCCGCCCCCTCGTCCTCTCCCTTCCTGGGCAGGATTCGCCTCTTGAAATTCTGCACACTAATAAAATCCTAACTAATTTACATCAGAGATGGGGGGAGCAAGCGGTTGCCATGGAGACCATCTCCAGGGCCCTGCGGCCTCCACCTCGAGGTGCTGCGAGAGAACAAGAGACCTGCATGGCTCTGCAGCTGGGGCCGGGCCTCCCCCGCCCTGCCCTGGTCCCTGAGCCTGGGGGGACAGGACTGGGACAGCCCGTTGCCTGGGATAAACCGGCCAGGTGCGGGAGGGAGAGCCCCTGCCAGGGCTGAGTGCCTGTTCCCTGCCCTGCGCCTTCCCTGGGGCTGCTGGCCTCTCTCCCAGAGTCACCCGAAAAGGTGTGCATGTGTGCATGTGCAGGTGTGTGCGTGTGTGCCCACACGCATGTGTGGTATTAGGTGTGGAACCTGGGCCCTGCACATGGAGCTACAAACCCACCTCCTTTTTTAATTTTAAACTCATGTTAAACCACTAAGTTGTAAAGACTTGAGGTTCAAACTCAGGGATCTCCTGCCTCAGCCTCCCAGTGGGCTGGGATCACAGGCATGCGCCACCTCGCCAGGCTCAGAGGGTAACATTTTAAGTCCCATTTTATCAACAATGACAGAGTCTCCAGGAGGTGGGACAACACTGTGTTCAGACCCCCAGTCTTCTGACTCTAAAACCGTCATGGTGAAGGTGATAAACTGTCTCCAGGGAGAAAAATGACAAAAGCAGAGGAGGGGAGGACAGAGAGGACTTGAGAAACCATGGGGTCTAAATCGGGTTTCGAAGGATGACTAGGAGCTCCGTAAGGGAAGCGATGGGAGGAAACTGCTCCAGGCAGAGGGAACATTGCAAAAGCTGACCCTGACCAAAGAGCCCTAGGCTGAGGGCTGGAGGGGCTGTAGAGAGAAGCCCTGGCAGGGGCCAGAGGGCCAGCGTGGCACTGAGATACAGGCCGTGGCACTGTGCGTCCCCTCGTTCCTCTTAATTCTACTTGACTTTGAGAGCTTGGACAGAGAAGGTTGGGGCTGCTGAGGCCGCAGCCTGGCTCATGCCCTTTGCCAACGCATGCCTGGCACACTTTCCACTGCTGGCAAGGGCTTGGCCTGTCCCCAAGGACAAGAGCTGGCCAGGACAAGGTGTGCCCCCGAGGATGGCATAGAGACCCTTGCGACAGAGGTGGCTGTGGTCTCATCAGAGTCCAAGGAGAAAAGCTGCCGGCCCCAGCTCTCAGGGACACTGAGCTGCAGGCAGCAATGCACGTCTAGCCACCCAACTGTCCTCTGGGCCGGACTGTCCTCTGCTGGCCTGCAGTGGAGGTGGACACCCTGAGTTCAGATCCTGCTTCCCCATGGATTGTGTACCCACAGGTAAATTCCTGAACCTCTCTGAGCCCTATTTTCTTACCCAAGAAGTGGGAATAAAAGCTCCGACCTCCAAGCCAGGTGTGGGGGTGCATGCCTGAAATCCCAGCACTTGGGAGGCTGAGGCAGGAGGACTGCCGAGTGCAAGGACATAGGGCACCGTCTTTTCCTCCCCTGCATGGTCAGCCTTTCTACCAGGGTCTTTGTGCTTTTCCTTCAGTAAACACCGAGGGACAATCAGACATTGTCTACAGGCCAAAACAAAAAATGTATTTTTCCAGAACAAGAGATGGAACCCAGAGCCTTTCGTGTGGTAAGTGAATACCGTACCTCTGTGCTCCACTGCAGTGCAAGACTGAGAGCCCTGATCCCTACCTCACACCATATACAACGACGCCCACTGGGCCACAGGCCTAAGTGTGAGGCTTATTACCGGACTGCTGTGCTTTGTTTTTTGAGACAGGGCCTCCCTACGTAGTCCAGCTAGCTTTAAGCTTACTGTGTGGCACAGGCTGGCCTGTAACTCGTGGCAGTCCTCCTGCCTCAGCCTCCAAATGCTGGGGTCACTGGGGCCACCAGTCCTGACCAAACTTTTAGAAAGAAACAGGAGAAAATCTTGAGCACTTCACATGAGGCAGAATTCCTAGACATAAGAATACTGATTGGTCCATAAGAGAGAAAATGAATTGCCAGCCCTTCCTCACCAGGGAAACTCTCATTCTGAGAAAGAACTGTTCAGAGAGAAGAGGTCAGGCTGGAGGTGGGAGAAAGGATTTGCAAACTGTTGGGAGCCGCAGCCCCGAGCCCGGTCGCCTCACTTGGCGGACGTGAGGCCTGTAGTAAAGAGTGAGGCCTGAGGTAGATTACCCCTCCCATCGAACACGTTAGTTTCCTGCTTACCGCGTAAACAACCCGCTCAACAATATAGTCTGCCTGGCAACTGATGATGTTAGCCAATCAGCTTGCCTTGCTTACTTTAACATGATTGGACACTGTACCCGTATATATACCGGTGCCACCCCTGGGCGGAAGTAGAAGCCAGATAGAAGCCCGGAAGTAGAAGCCCAAAAGGAGCCGCGGAGAGCGGACCGGTAGAGGCTTTGGGGCAGGCTGAAGCACAAAAGGAGCCGCGGGGAGCGGACCAAAGGAGGCTTCAGCTGGGAGAACCCAGGGCAGGCTGTACGGAGAAGGAAAATAAAAAGAAAAGGTTGTCCACTACCAGACTGTGTCGTGTGTCCTTCCTGCCGGCCGGGAGCGGACATCGACATTTGGAGGCCCGCCCGGGGACTGATCACCCCCGCGACGTGGAAGTGGACAACGCTCCAGTACAGAGCTGCGAGACAGGTGAGTTGGGGATAAGCCTGGGCTCTGGGTGGCGCGCACCTACAGGGCTTTTAGACTCCCCTCAGGCTCACGCGTAAGTGGCGGATTCCTTGGGCCTCACGCGGTGAGTAACATATTAAAAGATGGGAAACATGTTAGGTAGCAACACTAAGAGCGAGGGTGGTTGTGGAGAAAGCTCTCAAGAGCTTACAAAAGTACGCAGGGTATCTGAGCAGGCCCAGTCAGGGAGCTCCCGAGAGGGGTCTGTCAAGGGGAACAAGGATGCTAAGGAGGAGGACGGGGCTCTAGCCTCGGAGTCGTCTGACTCCGAGGACGAGGGAAAGTTGAATGGCAGGGAGGCCAAAGAGACCAGCTGTCAGGAGCCTAAGTCGCTCAATAAGGAGTCGCAGGGTTCTTTTCCAGCGTCACGCCGCGAATTGCGCTCTGCTCAACCTGGTCTGCGGAGGAGTAGAGAGCTCCTGAGTGCGCCCCGGCGCGAGAGGGAGGCGGTCCCTCGCCACGAGGCGGCCGCCTGGGAGCTCCCTCCCCTTTCGCCAGAACAGGAAGTGATGCACGGGCCCCCATTTTCCGCCCAATCACGGCCGCTGTCTTATGCTCCGCCGCCGGCGGGTCGGTATTTTTACAGGCGGCTTTGGCAGGGGGGACGCTTGTCTCATGAGGTACATCCACCTGGGATAGATAGTGGCCCCTACGAGATATTTCCTGTACAAGTAGCTATGGGCCAGGGACGCAATGTATGGGAGCCTTTTGAGATAAAGCAGATTAGAGAACTTAAAAATGCAGTTACAACCTTTGGGCCGACTGCGCCTTACACCATTGCCATGCTGGAGAATCTGTCTTCTGGGCCCCTCACCCCCGCGGACTGGATTCAGCTGGCAAAGGCCTGTCTGCCCTCGGGCAGTTACCTGGATTGGCGAGCCTGGTATGCAGAGTTCTCTGCCGAGCAGGCTGAGAAAAACGCCAATCGAGGAAACCGGGGGTGGAACAAGAAAATGCTTATGGGAGAAGGTCGGCACGCTGATGACCAGACCCAGTTCCCCGGCGCTGTCTATGAGCAAATCAATGCCATAGGACTCCGCGCCTGGAAGCAAGTAAGTGGTGCTGGAACAGCCTCCTTGTGTCTTTCAAAAATAATTCAGGGTACCACAGAGCCATTTGTTGACTTTGTGGCCCGAATGCAAGATGCTGCCGATAAGATATTTTCTGATCCGGGAGTGGCTCAACCGCTGGTAAGACAGCTGATTTTTGAGCAATGTACAAAGGAGTGCAAGGCAGCGATAGCTCCTCATAAGAACAAGGACCTCAATGCCTGGATTAGGATATACAGAGAGATAGGGGGGCCGCTCTCCAACTCGGGAGTGGCTGCTCTCCTGGCCGCGGCTGTACAGCAGAGGGGACCTCGCGGGTTAGAAGGGGAATGTAAGGCTAAAGGGTGTTTTGCCTGCGGGGAGCCAGGACACATTAAACGTCACTGCCCAAACAATGCAGATGCTAGGCCTCGCCCTAGGAATGAAGAACCATATGTTTGTGGGCGATGCAAGAAGGGATCACACAAAGCTGAGGAGTGTAGGTCGGTCTTTGATGCTCAGGGCAACCGTATTTGTGGACAAGATGCTAGAGAGCCAAAAAACGGCCAGAGGGGGCCCCCTTCACAGCCGGGCCCCCGCCCCAGAGACAGGACAGCTCAGGGTGGCAGCCTTCAACAAGGGCCACCCCTGGGTCAGCAGGTGTGGACCTCAGTGTCGCCTCCAGACTTATACAGAAGGTCACCATTAGGACGGATGGCGTTAGGACCCTAAATGACATGCAAAAGCTATTGGGAGACATTAATTGGATTAGGCCATATTTACATATACCAAATTCAGATCTCAAACCCCTGTTCGACCTTCTAAAGGGAGACCCAGATATAGCCTCCCACAGGAGGCTCACTCCTGAGGCAAGAGCTGCCTTACAGAGAGTGGAAAAAGCCTTAGGTGGGGCTACCTTACACAGAATTGAACCGGGGCGACCCTTTGATGTCTGTTTGCTACAGACTAGTCTACAGCCTACAGCGGTGATTTGGCAGAAAGGACCACTACTGTGGATACACCCTAAGGTCTCACCTGCAAAAGTCATAGAGCATTACCCGGAGGCAGTCGCTTCATTGGCCCTTGAAGCGCATGATAGAGCTGTCCAACATTTTGGCTCAGGACCACAAGCCATCCGAGTACCCTATACCGCCAGCCAGATCAAGACCCTGGCTGCCTGCATAGATACTTGGGCCATTCTGAGATGTGTTTTCCATGGGGATATAAACAATCAATACCCTAAAGACCCTATCTTGTCATTTGTCACTCAGCACCCTATAATTTTTCCAAAGGTTACTGCCTCTGAGCCATTAGTCCCAGCAACTACAATATACACAGATGGCTCTAAGACGGGGATAGGCGCCTATGTGATCCTAGGCAAGCCCCCGGTTACCATACAATTTGAACCAGATCAGCCTCAGGTGGTGGAACTGCAGATCGTTAAAATGATTCTTGAACGGTTCTCAGAGGCCATTAACATTGTCTCCGATTCTAGGTATGTGGTCAATGCTATGCAAGTGCTTGAGACTGCCGGTTTAATTAGATCCACTTCCACAGTGGCTGGGCTGTTCCTGTCTATCCAGACATTGCTTCAGAACAGACACCATAAGGTCTTCACCACCCACATAAGAGCACATACATCCCTGCCAGGGCCTATGGCACAGGGGAATGCGGCTGCTGACACTGCCACTCGCCCGTTATGGATTTTTACCTTACTAACACCAATCGAGCGAGCCCGTGCCTTCCATGATAAATTTCATGTTAATGCCAGGACACTAGCAAACCATTTCCATGTTTCTAGAGCAGATGCACGAGATATCGTGCGACTATGTGACTCCTGTGCCACATACAAACCTGCCCTACCGATGGGAGTAAACCCTCGAGGTTTGATCCCTGGTGATGTTTGGCAGATGGACATCACACATATACAGGAGTTTGGGACTCTTAAATATGTTCATGTTTCCACAGACACCTGTTCTCACGTCATATTTGCAACAACAAAAACAGGTGAAAAAGTGTCTAATGTGATCAATCATTGCCTGGCGGCTTGGGCCACATGGGGCAAACCAAAAATATTAAAAACTGATAATGGACCAGCCTATATAGGCAAAGCCTTCAATGAGTTCTGCAAAATGATGGAGGTTCAATTAAAACATGGTATCCCATACAATCCCCAAGGTCAAGGAATCATTGAGAGGGCTCATAGAAGCCTCAAAGAAATTTTACAAAAACAAAAAGGGGGAGTAGGCCAAGGCCTGGCCCCAAAGGCACGATTATCCATGGCACTATTCACACACAATTTTTTAAATTTAAATAATGATAATCGCTCCCCAGCTGTGGAGCACTGCAACCCTTCCCCCAACCATAAAGGGTGGGTGAAGTGGAAAGATGTCCTGACAGGACAATGGATGGGCCCGGATCCAGTGGTCAGCTGGAACCGAGGCGCGGTTTGTGTTTTCCCACAGGAATCGGTACGAGAACCACTGTGGATACCGGAGAGACTGACACGGGCAACAAAGCCCTCGACTGAAGATCAGACCTGCCCTACTGGAGATCCATCACAGACCAACCAACAAGATGAATAGAAATAGCGGTAGCCCGAAATGGACAAGAAGATCCTCAGGCATATGCATGGCTCGCTCGCCTAGCCTACGACCGAGTCTAGGGACGGTGAGCTTCCCACACTCCTCCTCTAAAAAATTATGATATAGCAGGGTAGATGAGTCAATGACGGGTAAGAGCGTGCCTCCCCAGCATGACTCGACCTAAGCCAGGCCCTACCCCATCCTGCACGTAAGCCGCTGGACTGTTAGATGCTGCCCAGGTCTAAAATTCTCTCCGAGGGGATTTCTTTACGGAGAGAGAATGAGTGCAAGCTTGTGTGCATCCAGGTTCCGTCCAGTTTGTGCCTGGCCCTAGAAAAAGGATGAGGGCCTCAGGGCCTTGGCAGACCATGGGACGGCCGACCAGGGTCTAAGCCAAGGACCTACGGTGGGCCTACGCATAGGGCATAAGCCTCTGCACCCAGTCCAGGAAGGGCTACGATGCGCACATTTATAAAAAATAAAAAAGGGGGAGATGTTGGGAGCCGCAGCCCCGAGCCCGGTCGCCTCACTTGGCGGACGTGAGGCCTGTAGTAAAGAGTGAGGCCTGAGGTAGATTACCCCTCCCATCGAACACGTTAGTTTCCTGCTTACCGCGTAAACAACCCGCTCAACAATATAGTCTGCCTGGCAACTGATGATGTTAGCCAATCAGCTTGCCTTGCTTACTTTAACATGATTGGACACTGTACCCGTATATATACCGGTGCCACCCCTGGGCGGAAGTAGAAGCCAGATAGAAGCCCGGAAGTAGAAGCCCAAAAGGAGCCGCGGAGAGCGGACCGGTAGAGGCTTTGGGGCAGGCTGAAGCACAAAAGGAGCCGCGGGGAGCGGACCAAAGGAGGCTTCAGCTGGGAGAACCCAGGGCAGGCTGTACGGAGAAGAAAAATAAAAAGAAAAGGTTGTCCACTACCAGACTGTGTCGTGTGTCCTTCCTGCCGGCCGGGAGCGGACATCGACAGCAAACCACACAGGTTTGTGTATCTGGGGCACAGAAAGAGGCGTCAAGACTCAGCAGTCCCAGCTGGGCGTGTGGTGCCTGCCTGTGACTCTAGCACTCGGGAGGCTGAGGCAAGAGGGTCACTCATGAGCCTGAGGCCAGCCTGGACTAAACTGGGAGACTGTCTCAAAAGGAAACAAAACAAAACACAGAGACTCAGCAGTCTCAAAGCAAGGCAGTGAGAACCGCACGGGGGATGCAGAGACCTCACCAGAGAAGATACCCGGATGGTGAATAAGCACAGGGAAACGTGGTCAGCCACGCGGGAAAGGAAGACCAAACACACAGCAGGATGCCAACAAGATACTGCAGGGCACCTCACGGAGATCACAGAGCACCTGGAACCAGGCGGGCCTTGTGGAGCCAGGTGTGGCCATACCTGGAGGCCACCATCCTGTCACAATGTGAGGCAGCCCCTCCGGTGCTGGCCTGCTTGGTCCTGAGAAACACACCCGGGCATCAGCCCCAGGAGCTCGTCTGCAGACTGGAGCACCAAGTGCAGGAACAAATGGTGGCCCACGTGGCCCAGACAGAGGGCACGCTTGAGGCCTGGCCTCGGCCCCAGTGCTCCAGCGCCCTTCTGCAGAGGGAGGAGAACCAGGCTCAAAAGCCCCCCGCCAGCCACGCGATTCTCCTTAGCTGCCGTTCACTGAGTGGGAGAGCTGTGGAGGCGGGAAAAGATCCGTAGGCGTGACCGCAAGAGGAAGTGTCGGAAGACAGGCCTGTCCTGGAACCTGGCGGCAAGGAGGTTACCCAAGTTTACACATTATGAAGCCACGTGTGGTGGCAAATGCTTGTAATCCCAGCACTTGGGAGGCCGAGGCAGGAGGATCTCTGTGAATTCAAGGCCAGCTGGGTTACATAGCAAAACAAAAGCTATACATATGATAAAATTCATAGAAGCTGACTCCAAAAAGAAGTTAACAGAAGTGCTTTTTGTTCTGTTTTGTTTTTTGATTTTCATGGTACCGGGGATTCAACTCAAGACCTTCAATGGTGAGCTACTTCTCCAGCTCTTTTTTTATTTTTTATTTTGAGACAAGGTCTTGCTAAATTTCCCAGGCGGGGTTTGAACTTGTGCTCCTCCTGCCTTGGTCTCCCAGAATGCTGGGGTGACAGGTGTGTGCCAATACTCCCGGTTTAGGAATGTAATTTTAAGAAACATTTTGTGGGACTCTGGCTTTTCAGTCTCTGCAACACAATTTTTTTTGTGTGTGTGTTTTGAGACAGGGTCTCACATGCAGTTCAGGCTGGCCTTGAGCTCACAGTGACCCTCCCGACTCAGCCTCCCAAGTCCTGGGATTACAGGCACGTGCCACCATGCCTGGCACCTCTGCAACACATCTGAATGGGTGAGGACAGGGCAGCCCCCACCGCAGCACCCTTGTGCAGTGAACAAGCCGCACGACTGTCCATGTGGGCCCTGGAGCACCCGGTGTTTCCCTCTCCTGCTCTGTTCTCCCTCTACAGATGGAGCCCCACAAGGGTCCCCAGGGAGGGGCGGGCAGGCTGTGCATTAACCTGACCAGGCCGAGGCTCCTCGTTAATGGCTGCAAATGCACTTTAGCGCTGAGGCTGCAGGGCTGCAGAAGCTCGGCTGGGGCTTAATGGCTCGCCTGCAAGGGAGGAAGAAGGATGGTGCAGGCTGGACGTGTCTTGGCCCAGAGGGAGGGGTGTGGCGGGCGGTTCCCCCAGCCTGGAGACTCCCTGCCTCAGCGTGGGAGAGGGATGGGGGGGAAGGCAGAGGGAGGGGGGAGGAGGCAGAGGGAGGGTGGGGCCCCTGGAGGCCGCCCTGCCTACCAGACCCCTGCCCTTCGTTCCATCCTGGGCCACCGGCTCCCTTTCATGCCCCTGGGGATGGAGAGCTCAGTCCAGGCCAAGGGTATCACGGGGACATACCTGCAGCTCCTCAGCCCAGGGACCTGGATGACAGCCAGGTTCCAGGGTCATTTTCCAGCTGCACTCTGCTTGAGTGGCAAAAGCACCAGATTCCGGGCGTGGTGGCATTTGCCTGTCTTGCTAGCATTTGGGAGGCTGACGCAGGAGGATCTCAAATTCTAGGCTATGTAATGAGAGCCCAGTGGAGTGGGAGGCAAGCTCTGGGGATGCGGGTGGGGCTCTGCTGGGTGCAGGCAGATCGGGAGGGGGTAGGAGGAGGCTGCAGACCCAGGCCGGACAGGCCTAGCACGGGGACAGGCCCAGCACCGCAGGGCCTCGGACACCATCCACGATCAGAAACCCGGTGAAGGGGCCTGCGGAGGGCCGCTCAAGGGAAGGCAGCTGGGGAAACGGTGTCCTCCCCTCCTCGCTCCCCGGATCTGGGGTGCGCGACTTTCAGCTCCTCCCCAGAAGCAAAGGGAGCGGGAAAGGGAAGGAGGAAAGGTGCCGGTGGGTCCGGGACACCGAGGCCGCCCAGACGGCGCGGCCAGCGACCCCCAGGAAAGAGCACCCCGGAGCTGCTGCAGGAAGCCGCCGGGCCAGGGATGGGTGCGCGGAGGGGCAGCGTCTGCAGGGTGCTCTCGTCGGGTCTCCCTCCCGATACAGTCAGGCCGCTCTCACACCGGGTTTGTGATCACTCCTTGCACCCCTGCTTACGTCTCCACACCCCAGAACCCCTATTACACACCCCAGCTCCGCCTGCTGGGCACTGTTCCCTGCCCCTCCCCCGGGCCCCATTGACCACCTTGGGCAGCTGCTGTCCCACCAGCCGCGTCCCCCCAGGCCCCGGGCAGGGCAGAGAGCGCCTCGGCCGCCACCCCCAGCCTCGGGCTGCTGGAGCATCGATCGGGGATGCGCCCTGCTTCCCACCGGCCGCAGGATGGAAAATCAATGCCCAGAACAAGCGGCGAGCGAGGGGTGCGGGGAAGGAGGGCAGCGCCGGGAGGAGGTGCCGGGGGTCCCCGCAGCAGCCAGGCCGTGCCGGCGGGAAAGCCGCTGAGCCTGCTGCTGTTTTGTTCTGACTGCAAAAGCTCCCTGGGCGCAGGGAAAACGACACCCATGGCACCCATGGCACCCACGGCCGGGTCCCCCACGCGGCCTCTTCTCCCCGCTGCTTGCTGTTCTGCAAAACCGGGGCGCACTCGGCAGCTCTCCCCTGCCCTCGGCCGCTCGGTGCGGGGGGGGGGGCGGGGGAGGGCTTGATGCGGGTCCTGTGGCCTGCAGCCCCTCCACCCCGCATCCCCTCCACCCCACCTCACGTCTCCCATCCAGCAGCCGAGGGACAGGACACTCCCTGCTGTTCCCGCACTGGGGCTGTTGCTCTGTGCTGCTCTGTGGAAGCAAAAGAAAAGCAATGATTTACCCAAGTAGTCCCGCCTGCGGATTATGGGGGTTATTGATCAGGTCCCTTCACCAGGAGGCTGCTGGGATAGCCCTGCCCAGATCCTCTGACAACTCTGAAAGTCTGCTTTGTTTTTGTTTTTGAGACAGGATCTCACTGTGTGGCCCAGGTTGGCCTCCAGCTAGCAGCGATCCTCCTGCCTCAGCCTTCTGTATCAACCACACAGCTTGGCATCCCTTCTGAGGGCCCATCGATCCACCCACTAGACACCCCCAGGAGGCCATGGGACCCTGTAGATCCCTGTTCTCTGCCCCTCAGGGTCATCTCATGCCTTTGACCTTTTTGGCCCCTGGCTAAGGTAAAAGGTGCCTTGTTCTAATGTGAGTTTCTTTCTCCATTAGTGAGGGGAAGGGGTTCACGCGTGTGCTGGCCCCTTGGGTGTCTCTCCCACGACTGCCCGGTTCATTCTCTTCTCCCATTCCCCCTGGGGGTCTCCACGGTCCCCTCGCAGTCACACCAGAGCCTCCCGGCCTTCGGCCTTCGCCACAGCTGTAAATATTCTCCTAATTGGCTGTTTGCTTTTGTTTTCTTTTATGGGTCTCCGCTATACATAACTTTTAAACTTTTTTTGTAGTCAAAGCTTCAGGAGGATTTTTACCATCTGTTGAATAATTAAGCAGACTTTTCACATCACATTATTTTCCCCTAGCACTTTTATAGTTCCACTTTCATATTTAAGTTTTCGTTTGGGCTCCAATTTATTTTAGTTATGGCTTACACTCAGGCTAACAGCCTGCCCTGACCTGTCCCCAGGTACTGAATGGTTGTCTTACCACCATTTAATAAATGGCCCATGCCTGGACTGGTGGCAAACGCCTGTAATCCTGGCACTTGGGAGGCTGAGGCAGGAGGATTGCCACAAGCTTGAGGCCAGCCTGGGCAACACAGTGAGTTCAAGGACAGCCTGGACTACATAGTAAGACCCTGTCTCCAAAATAAATAGCCCATATTTTCCTTACTGATATTATTTTAATGAATTAATTTTGGTTTTTTGAGGTGAGATTTTGCTGTGGGTCCAGGCTGACCTTGACCTCACTATGCAGCCTAGGCTGGCCTTGAACTTGTGTCGATCCTCCTGCTCCTGGTATTTTTGGGGTTTTTTAAGACAGTCTCTCTATGTGTGTCCTGACTGCTCTGGAACTCACTATGTAGTCCAGGCTAGGCTCGAATTCACTGTAATTCTCCTGCCTCAGCCTCCCAAGCCTGCACCACTGGTTTTAAATTATGCCTATATAATGTATTCAAGTTAATTAACAAGTTCAGGAACCCAGCAGACACATCTGGTAGTGTCACGCCTCTTAATAAGAGTGGTGCACACAATTTAATAGTGTCATCAAAGCTCACTGATCGGGAAGGGTCCCCGGGTGCCAATGGTTGAGAGGCAAAGAGCAGACCACGATGCGGTTCCGCGCCCAGAACCCCGACCCAAAGGCAGAGCAAGAGGTCGCCCAGCACCTGCGGATAGCTGCAGGGCAGCCTGGCTCTCCTGACCCCAGGCAGGGTCAGGGGCTGAGCAGAGGGGATAGCACATTGCGGAGAAGGCCTAGGACAGGCAGCCTGGAGGAACCGGAAAAGCCACTATGAGAAAGGAAGAGGCAGATGGAGGGAGGGAAGGTGGAGGGCTGAGGGTGGCTGAGGTGCTGTTGGGATCAGAATTCCATGCAGAGAGGAAAGGCAGGGAGACAGGGCTGGGGGAATGGCCAGGGTGCAGCCCAGCAAAGAGGGAGATGCAGAGAGGGGGACACGGGAGGAGAGGGGATGCCTCACCTGGGTCTTAGAGATAGCCTGGGAGGGTAGATCACCACCACCATCATCAGGATTATTCCTGTTATTATTTTGTGATGCTGGGCACTGAGCCCAAGGACTTCATACTGAGATCCATCTCCAACCTTTCTTTTTTCTTTTTTATATTGAGACAAGGTCTCCCTAAGTTGCTAAATTGCCCAGCACTGAGGAGGGCCTGGCTCAGTAGCAGGGCATTGGCCAGTGTATGCAAGACCTGGGGGTCCCACCCCAAGCACATCAGCTCAAAGAAAGGTAAATATCTGAACCGACAGCTAGGTGGTCATACCAAATATATTGTGTGCAATTTTACACACAAAGAAAAAGTCAAGGGAGGAAAAAAATGTATATTCTAAGGACCCTTATACTAAAGACATGGTGCTCCAGGCACTTTATACATTATTCCTTTAAGATTAAGTCCTCAAACAACAGTTTTGTGTTATTATTATCCTTTTTTTTTTTTTCTTTTTCTTTTCTTGAGGTAGGGTCTTCCTATGCAGTCCCAGCTGGGGTTGAACTCACAGAGATCCACCTGCCTCAGCCTCTTATATGCTAGGCTTACCTGGCTCTATGTTTTAAAGATGGAAAAATGAAGGATAAGAGTTTGTCATCTTTGTTACTCAAAGGTATTGAAGAAATTTTGGATACAATAAAGGCCCAGAACATTTCTCCATTGGTGGCCTCATTAGTCTGCTGTCCCTTTAAGAGTATCCTCCTACGGAAGCCTCAGAACCCAAGCAATCTCCGCCCCCTTCCTTTCTCCAATCCGGATCAGCCTTGCTTCTTGCTTTGACCAATCACACGTGTCCGAGATGATGTCACTCCTCTTCCAAGGCCAGGCCTTAAGAAACCCTGCAGCTTCTCTTTTCAATGTCGTAGGTCACTTTGGACACCTTGTCCCTTGTCCAGTGTGACCTGGTGACCTTGTGAGACATCAGGACAGGGGTGGGTCCCTCGTGGAGACACTGGGACAGCTGTAAGCCAAGGAGAAAGGTCCTGGGGGGAACCAAGCACACAACTCCCCCCCTCATCCCCTCACCCCGCAGAGTTCTCCTCTGTAATTGTGAGACAAGAAATCCGTGCAACCAGAGCCACAGCCCACGGTCCTGGAGTCTCCCAGCTGCGGCCGTGACAGCGCTGCTGAGGGTCCCTGGGCACAGCTGCCCAACTGCCTGGTGGAGCCCGTCCCGAGGAGCAGGCCCTGGCGCTGTGAGCAGACTCCGGGCTCCAGCACACAGCCTTCCCCACAGTGCCACCACCCACAAGGACGACAGACCCCCAGGCTACAGGGCGGCCTGCACAATGTCTTTCAATTAGTGTGAGGGCAAAAAGCCAGGAGTGGTGGTGCACCCCTGTCATCACAGTACTCAGGAGGCTGAGGCAGGAGGATCGCCGGGAGTTTGAGGCCAGCCAGGACGACACACCTAGGCCGCGTCTCAAAAACAAAACAAAAATTCTTCTTCTTGAAACAAAGAAAGAGTGAGGATGTAATAAAGATATTTCAGAGGAATTTGAGGAACTTGTGCCTCCCCAGGTGTTTACTAGGAGAATAGAGGGTTAGGAGGGGGAGAAGGAAGCCAAGGTCTCTTCCAAGCAGGAGATACAGAAAGGAAGGGCCTAGCTGTGCCAGTCGGGCTAAAATCTAAGCAGCAGAGGCTGTGAGAATGACAGTGGTCACAGGCAGCCTGGCTCCGTGGTCAGATCAGCTTCCAGTAAGTCGGTTCCCTGGGGTGCAAGGAGAATTTTAAAGTGCTTTTTGCTTGATTTTTTGAGGCAGGGTCTCACTATGGAGCCCAGACTGGCCTTGAACTCCCGCTGCCGATCCTCCTGCCTCAGCTTCCTGAGTGCCACCACGCCCGGAAAGAGGTAATTTCTAAAAGAAGGAGGTGAGATTTATAACTTTCAAGCCCATAAACAGGAACGGAGTGGGGCGGGGTTGGAGGGGTGGGGGGACTGAAATCCAGTCTGGGAAAGCCGAGGGAGACTGCTTTTGTACCTGGCCACCCCGGGGGAGAACTCGGATTTTTCCTAGCTTTTATTTGTTCCCACTGGGGTTTCCAAGGAGACAGGTCTGGACCCGCAGCAAGGAGACCTTGTCACTTCGCCTCTCTCGGAGCTGCCGTCCTTGGATTCTCCTGTATTGTTGTGTGGTCTCAGGGCCGCGGGGAGTCGTGGGCTTTGCTAAGGACAGAGCCAAGAATACGTCCAGCGTTTTCAGGCTCCACACGGCTAGGCTCTTGGCCTGGGACAGGTGTCCGTCCTTGAATTAGTCTGGATGAGCCAGGCTCTGCTGCAGTGACAGAGCGGCAAATTGCATGGCTCAAGAGAGAATGCTTTTCCTTCTCTCTCCTTTCCTTTTTCAGTACTGGGGACTGAGCCAGCACCTTTGCCCTGAGCTGCACCCCCAGCCCACCCCTTCCTTTGAGATGATGCTCACTAAGTTTTCCAGGCTGGATTTGAAGTCTGATCCTCCTGCCTCAGCCTCCTGAGTACTGTGATGACAGGCGTGCGCCCCCACACACCTGGTTTCCCGCTTTGGTAATTCTGTGAGGTCTCTGAATGCTCACAGGGAATAAATTCATTTTTCTGAACTCAGTCAGATTTCTGCTTTTCGTGGGGCAGAGCCTCAACCAGGATACCTCACTGATATTTATTTGACTTCAGATCTTCACCCCATTCCTAAGCAAAATGGGTCTGTACTCTGGTGCTATCTACCGACCCTTAATTTTAGGGTCATGCTGCATTCTTGACACGGCTGGGGGAGCCAACAATCCTGCCTGTGTCCCAGACAGACTGTCTGATAGAACTTTCCAGGTCAGGTTTTATGGAACACACTGTAATCCCAGCACTCTGGAAGGCTGAGGCAGGAAGATTGCCAAAGTCAAGACCAGCCTGGTTGATTTAGCTATTTAGTGACACCCTGCCTCAAATAAAGAAATAAAAAAAGACTAGGATGTAGCTCAGTGTGGAGCCTTGGGTTCAAAGGTCCGTACCCCCCAAATTTTCTTCTTGCCAGTAAAAGTGTCAGGAACTTGCAGTACACTAGGAAATAGCTCTTCCGTATCATTTTAACCCATTCCTATTTATTCTGTAGTCATAGACGTTTTGCTTCCCCCACTTGTGGATTACATGCATTTTCCCACAAGTATCAATTATCCATATTTTCAAACATTATTATCATTATCATTATCATTTTGCTTCCAGGGATTGAACTCACGGCCAGCAGGCAGGCACTTACACTGCTGAGCTAAATCCCTGGCTTCAAATCTACTAACTTTCCGTAATGCTGTTTTGTTTGGTTAGTTTAACTTTGTTTTGGGGCAGGGTCTCATGTGAAGCCCACGCAGGCCTGGACCTCACAGTCTTCCTGTCTCAGCCTACTGAAAAATTTCCTTTTCGGTCTCACGTTCGTGGACTGTTTGTCTCTGTTACACGCTGTGTACTGCACCTTGGAGAAGTCTCTCTGATTTATTAGACTTTCGAAGCCCCGAGTCACAGCCTGCTTTTCTACTTTGTTACTTTTTTATAATTTGTTAGATTCTCTTTTTTCTTTTCATTGATTTTTTTCTGTCTCTTTTCCTTTGCTTTCTTCTCCTTTTCTTTTCTCTAATATCTTGAGCTGGACTTGGATGATGGGCTCTCTTCCTGTCTTACTGGCTGAATTCCCAGTGTGGGTGCATAAATCAGTTCCTCTAGTGTTTTAGCCGCTTTCATACCGTTCGTATGTTCTCGTACGGTATTGTCAGTGTGCTTTCTTTTACATAGTTGGTCACGTAGGTTTTATTTAAAGTTATTTACTAAAGTGGCTTTTAATTTCCAAATGGTTGGCTTTTTAACTTAAACTTTCGTTAGTAATTTCCAGCCTAATTGCCCTGTGGTCACAAAACGAAGCTCTTCTTATATCTACTTTGAGGATTCTATTGAGGTTTTTCTTTATAGCCTGATATATGATCAATTTTCATAAATGTTTGATGGGTTCTGGCAAAGAAATGAGTATTTTTTACTTATACGGTGCAAAGTTCAACTGTTCAATCAACCTTATTAATTATGTTCCATCCTAATAAATGTGTGTCAGGGCTACTATTTTTTTTTTTTTCTTTTTTTTTTTGTCTTTTTCCTTTTTATCGGTACCAGGGATCGAACTCACAACTGCCTGCTTGCAAGGCAGGCGCTTATGCCGCTGAGCTAAATCCCCAGCCCCCCAGGGCTACTATTGAAATGTGTCAAAGAGAGTGGTCACAGTTTTCCCCTTCTGTGGGGTCTTGACGTGGATTTACCTCATTTTAACTTTCCCCCAATCTTCTCATTCGTTCATTTTTGAGTTGAGTCAAGGTCTTGTTATGAAGTTCAGGCTGATCTTGGGCTCACGGTGTAGCCAAGACTGCCTGAAGCTCCTGGTGATCCTCCTGCCTCAGCCTCTCGACTGCTGGGACTTCAGGTGTGAGTCACCACACCCAGATTCGACCTTTGTTTTTTAACCTTTTCATATTCCTTAGTGTCTAGATGTCCCCCCAAACCTCATGCAGTCATGGGGTAGCTCAGTCTGTGATGGATTTGCAGTGCAATGTTGGGATTAAGGGCGGGTGTTGCTGGATCAGTTCACTGATTGGATGGGCACTGCCCTAGTCCTGGCAGACTGGCTATGATGAAAGGGACCAAAAGGGGCTTCTCTCTCTCTCTCCTTTTCTTGCTTTTGCTGTCTTCTAGCAGTCATGAACTGTTGCCCCTCTGCCATGCCGCCATGCCATCCTGCCTTGGAGCCAGCCAATTGTGGACTGAAATCTCCACAAACTGCGAGCTAAATAAATCTTTCCCCTTTTAACTTTGGGTGTTGAATATTTTGTATCAGGACCAGAAAGGTAACTAAGATACTCAGTTTCAAATCCATACCTTGTAAACACCATGGAACTGGGTTTTCATCTTAGTTTACACTTATCCAATCTGGGAGTCATTGCCATTTGCTAGGAAATATAGTGCATTTATATTCATTATTAACATCAGCCCCTGGAGCTCACACCCCGGAGAAAGGGTCTCCTCTTCATTTTTCCTCCCCACTGTTCTGTTAGGTTTTCTCTCTGTCTCTGTCTCTCTGTATCTGTCTCTGTCTCTGTCTCTGTCTCTGTGTGTGTTGCTGTGAATGGAACCCAGAAGGACCTCACGCATACTAGGCAAAGGCTTCTCCACTGAGCTCACTCAACTCCATTTTTAGTTTTTTTTGCCCAGGCTGGCCTTCAATTTGTGATACTCCTGCCTTAGCCTCCCCAGGAACTGAAAATACAGTCTGTGCCAATGTTCCCAGTGTAAAATTATTTTGTTTGGAGACAGGGCCTTGCTCTGACACCCAGGGTGACCTCAAATTCCCAGTCCAAAGCAATTCCCCTGCCTCAGCCTCCCTGGCAGCTGGAACTACAGGTGTGTACCATTTTGCCTGGATATTATGACATCACTTGAGAGTATGTTTTACGTTTTGCTCAGTCTGGTGATGAGTGATATTTACAGTTATCATTCAGAGTCGGTGCTGTCAACTCTGACCCAGTGCTGACGCCCAGGCTTATCCCTCACCCCCAGCCAGACAGGGCACAGTCCTGTGTGTCCTGAGGACCTCACAGGCCACTTCCTTACCGTGCAACACCATCAGAGCCCTGCATGATGTGCCCGAATGACAGTGTCCTGGGGGAGGAGCCCTTGTTTTTCCCAGAATGCAGTGGGCCGTCCGGTGTGCACATCCAGGGCTGTTTTGTTTTAAGGCAAATGAGCATTTTTGCTCTTTGGGTTCAGGTCAGCCCTGCTCAGTTCTTTCTCCAGCTCACCTTCACGGCACACTGTCCTCTTTTGACGTCTGTCCCACTCTCCAGACAGGGCCTCTCTCCCTGGCTCCCCACTGCCACTCGTCAACTCTTCACTGTGCTTGATTTTTGCTGCCCTCTCGCTGTCCACGGACCCCAGCCGTCTGTATCCCAGGGCAGGTGACAAATGCCTGCTGAGTAGGTGGCTCAGCATGGCAGACCCAGCTGTGAGTTCGAGTCCAGCCTCAGCCTCCTTTGTCCTTTGATGTTAGCAAAGAGCCTCTTACGGAATACCTATGACTTCGCAGACTCTGGGCTTGGGCCTGGTCCTGCCTTCTGGGACTCACAACAGCGCACAGCAGCCTGCAGCGCCCTCGGCCCCCACACGATGTCCATCACACCTGCCCAGGAGCCCCACACTGCTCTGGCTCAAAGTGGTCAGGTCTCCTCCAGCTCCTTCCAGAACCAAGTGGGCTGTGCACCATCCTGTCCCTGTCCCATCAGGCTTTGCAAACTGACGATGCTGGGTGAAGGCAGCATCCACTCCTACCCAGGAGCCAGAGCCCAGGGACCGGTGATAAACGGAGATCCCCGCATGCACTGCTTGTGGCAAGGCTCCCTGCCCCTGAGGTTTGCTTCCCAGAATGCCTTGCACCACAAAACCCCTTTCCTGCCCTCAGTCCCTAAGCGACAGGATATTACTCCAATCTCCTGGCAGTCTCCTGTCCCGTATTCAGACTGGCATCTTCTTTTTTTTTTTTTTTTCCCTGAGTCTCACTATGTGGCCCAGGCTGGCCTCGAGCTTCTGGTGATCCTCCTGCCTCAGCCTCCTGCGTACTGGGATTACAGGTGTAAAATACCATGCCCTGCCAACATATTCTTGCTTTTGTCACTGCCTGTGTCACCTGTGCCTTACTCCCTACCCCTGGTGATTGACCCCAAGCCCTTTGCACTGAGTTCTATCTCAGCCCTTTTATTATTTTTTATTTTGAGAGGGAGCCTCACTAAGTTGCTAAGCTGCCCAGACACTGTGAGCATGTGATCCTCCTGCCTCAGCCTCCCATGGTACTGGGTTACAGGAGTGATCTGCAAAGCTGGCTTCCCCCGAAGGCTCTCTACCTTGCGGTCACCTTTCGCCAGCTCCCTGATAGCAATCCAGCAGCCATTCCTGCTTCTTGAGCATCTACTTGGCCCCAGTGCTGGGAGATTCCGGGACAGAGCCAAATGTGTGGGCTTCTTGATTGTTGGTTTGAGCTCCCGTTTCCTGGCTTTGGTGCACGGTCCTCTTATCGCTGTGGTTTGTGATAATTGATTAAAAACCCTGCTCAGTCTCTGCCACTATTAAATTTAATTTTTTTTTTTTTACACGTAGAGTAACTCGTAAGTCATAAGTCACTGCCTAGGCTGGGCTTGAACTTGCAATCCTCTTGCCTCAGCCTCCCAAAGTGCTGGGATTCTAGGCATGTGCCACCATTGCAGGCCTCGTGTTAATGGGGAAGACGATCAGGCCATCCTGACCTGAGGGGACGCTCAGAACTGTCCTCCGAGGCCCCTTCTGCAGCTGGCTTCCCTGTCTCTGTCATTTTAAGCAGGTGCCGGTGCCAGCCCCGGGCGGCAGCAGCCTGGGGATCGGCAGGACGCTTCCACCAGCAGGGTCACAGCCCGGCTCCTGGACCAGCACCAAAAGCCATTTGCTGGCCAGCGGGCTTTGAGTCAGGCCCAGCTGGGTTTCCCATCCCTTATTTGCCCGATCCTATTAATAATTAACAGTGCAGTAATGAGAATCGCTGTTAATAGAATCCGCTGCCA